AATATTACCTATATTAATATTTAATTATTGATTAATAGAAATAAGATTTTATAGATATGGTAAAATTTAAACGGCTATAAAATAATAACAATTTTGTTAGGGTCTTCTTTAACGTATTGACCTGGAAGAGGCTCCGCAATCTTACAATGGCCCTGACACTAATACAGTCCATTGTACCAATGTGTTTAATCAATAGCATTAACACACGTTTAATTCGGATGCTTGATTTACCATTAGATATAGGAGCTAATTGTTTGAGAAAAAACTTTGATTGAATTCAATGATGATAATTGTTTGGAGTACGTCATTTTAGTAGATATTATAACAAATAATATCGCCATTAAAGTGCACAGAAAATATCATAATTAATGTAGATAAATGATCAGAAATGAAATCGTTATGTTTATTTTGTGAGTATAAATTGTTGTTATGCTACTAGCTGAAGTTTTATAAGAAATCATTAAAAAACAATAATGGTATTTCAAGCGGTTTATGAACTTATTACACTATTATTGAATAGCAAATAATATATAAATAGAATAAAAATATTTCATTGATATTTTTACATTATTTGCATTTTGTTTATGTTATTTTAAACGCTGATTACAAAAAGATTCTTCAATCAATCTCCGAAGTGTTAATAATTTGTGTTGTTTTTACAATAATTCATTCGTAATCATTTATTGTATAATTAAACAAGTACATATTTAACAGCTTTAACAATAAACATCTCAAAAAGACACGTGGAAAGGTCAAAGATTATAACAACTGTAAAAATAGAAAATAAATCGGTATTCTATAAACTAATTAATATTGACACAATCAGTAACAAACAATTGTAATAATTATAAATACTTTTGGCTATTTAACAGAAAGTTCAAATAAGATTTATGTTTCATGTTAATCATAAACTTATAGGGCGACGGATTAAGTCAGAAGGTCTTGGACTGGGTGTCTATGAAAGCTAACGACTAACACGATCACGAATTTTACAATTCACGAGTGCTCTACTTACTTTAATCATTCGAATTTGACTTTATAGACTTGATGGTTTCGCGCATATAAAATAAAAACGATTTTGGCCATCTACAATGGGCAGAGAACAATAGCGAAAAAAAAAAAAAAAAAAAACAATGACTAAATAGAATTGTACTCAACAAATTAGGCATATAAAAAAAAAAGTCGGAACATAAGTGGCAGACAAGGGGCGTAAAAAATAGAACAGACGGGCAGGCCAACTGAGTAATTTGTGAGCGGACCTGGTAAAGGTAAACCCGATGGAATAATTATATCGGTTACACAATACAGGCCCGTTAACGGAACGACTGTTGGAAAAGACTTGGCTAGTGTACCGGCGGCGGGCGGGCTACGAGAAGACGTTGATGATTTAGTTATGAGGTCGCGAAGACAAGCCGGCCCGGGGGAGGTTTTGGGGGGCGTTTGAGCGCGCGCACTGTGCACGCAGGTGGCTTACTCGTTATTAGCGGTTACCGCACACACACGCGCATAATATTATTATCAAAGGGCGGTCCGCACGTGAGCGCATTACAACCGCCGCACATTATATTGTGTACACACGAGAAGTCCGTACGGCGACTTTCTTAAGGTCCACCTTGGGCTGCTGGTACTGCTGCCGGTCGGTGATCCTGTTGGCCGCCGGTAACGAGTTATCATTTAGAAACGAAGCGGCGGAGAGAAAACACGAGAAAAAAACTCCACGAGGTAAGTGGAAGAAGGGAAAAAAAAAATACACACACGCGGGCGGACCACCCACTCGACTCTATATTATCTTTTTTAAAACAAACATATACACGTCAATAAAAACGACTGCGAGTAGACTACTCGACCACACGCGCGCGCGGACGTTCGACAGAGACGGAAAAACGATGAGACGGCCGCGCTCAAAACCGTTCTCCGGTCGTTATTATCTTATGCACACACATATTATGGATGTATATATTACAGTCGTTATTATATTGTTAAGTTACGTGTGTGTGTGTGTATCATCGCGTTTAGAAGTCTCGGTGCATAGTTTTTTGTTTTATTTCGAGCTCCCCCCTTACACCATGTAACATCCACCCAGTGATATTTCGGTGTATTCAACAAACGTGCAGACCGTGTAAATAACCCGCACGGTTTGGACGAGGAAACCCCCGCGCAGTCTTCTGCAGTCGGAAGGCCTGCCGCGGTCTTCGAATGCCTACGGGTCTGCCCGTTCAGCAGCGGCTATATAATATGTATAAATAGGAATGCATTACCAGACAGACTGGTGCTTCCGTAATAATAACTCTACCGGTAACTAGGTATATGATGGCCGAGGAAAACGAAACGCCCTTTAATGCCATCGATAGAGTTCCTACGAGTCGCAAGTCTTCACGTGTATCTATTCGACCTCGAAATTATAATTGCTTGTCCGACAGAGAAACGTCGACGAAAGGCGACATTAATTTATTGTGCGAATTAGCGAATCCTTCTGGTCGTTTCAAACCTGTCCACTGTGTATTGCTGAAATGTCAAAACTCCATTGCAACATGGTCATGATCTACGTGCCATAAGGTTTCAAGTTAATTATGAATTGTAAAACGTTTTGCATTGTCGTCATGCATATGTGTAGTGTGTCACAAATTAGCTAACAACAGCTTACGCAGTTTAATGTCGTTAAAAAATAGTATAAACACGATAATTTTAATCTCAATATCATAAAAGTTTATACTAGTTATGAAATTTTTATTTAAATAATTTTTCATGACATTTAGTCGTGTCAAGTTATTTTACCAGTCAATTTAAATAAAACCAAATTCTCGTCCTTGCTAAAGGAAATTTGTTTTTGAATTCATAACTTTCAAATGACCGCGTTGAAAATTGCAAGTGAAATTACTCAACCTGTTTTCCTTTCGATGTTTATTTTTAAAAGAAGTTCGAACTGGATTGGTATTTTTAAACCAGGATCTGATAACAACCGGAGGCCATAATCCATTTTAAATTATTGGTACGCCAACTGTGCGAAATATAACGTATTGTAATGATACCTAAGCGATTTATACAGAGTTAATATCACGTTAATGAAATGTTTTTGTGGATTTAATACCATTGCAAATAAATCGTGCGTATAAAGATTATTTATAAGAGCACACTTCATCCAAAACCAAACCAACTAAGTTTTTTCTAACCAACTGAATTTCGGCGCACCAGTTCCGGCATAAGTGGGCTGTGTTAAGTATTTGCCTAGGGTATTACCTGCAAAGACAGCTTTGCACCTTATAATCAGTAAGTGTACGTTATATTGATAAAAATATATAATTATCATAAAAACACATTAAACTGTACAAGTGCACTTTTTCAGGTGTTCGCGATATCTTTCCGCAAATATTTGTCGGCGAGAATACATACTATAAATAGTATTTTCTTAATTGTAATATTTTTTTGCTTGATAATAATATTTTTAAGTAAAAACTATTGGAATGCCGAGTCTATGGGTCAGCATGCACTGAGGTAAGTTTGTAAATTATACACGTGCGTACGACACATGTCGATAAATGAAAGCTATTGGAAAGAATACGCGTGTAGGATCATATTGTACAAAAGCTCACAACAAATATATACTTGGACGCTGAAACTCAAAAGAAACACGTGGGAATTATGGACTTAAAAAAGATTAACGGCCCTTATTACCGATAATATCCCAAGCGGCGGCAGCAGAGGTCTTTGATCACGCGGCGTCTGGACACGCGTGCAAGTCTCTCTGATTGCATTCCACTGGTCGCAAACACACACGGTAAAATAATAACGCGGTTTACGACCAATAAAGAGCGATTTAAAAAATTATATATTGTACATATAAAAATATAACATACAATAAACGTTATATTATGTGTGTTTCGATGACATTGAGGTGTCCGTTCGAACGAGGCCGACTTGGTAAACTCATCAATCTCCACCGGCACGTCTCGGGGCGCTCGCATTTGTTTTTTCTCCAACTTTATGACCATCCATTAATCACATTCACATAGGCACACGCTATAAACGCTCCGTTTTATTATTATTATTTATTTATTCTTCTTTATTTGACTTTTCAATTTTACCCCAGCTACTTTACCTGCCGCCGCACTCTTATGCGTACACATACGCTCATAATATACAACGATATTAAATGATTACTTCAAACCGGACGGAGAAAGAGACAGATTGGTATCTTTGTTTTTTTTCTTTTACCGACACCGTCACTATTATGTACTGTCTGTTAGTTGATTTAATATTGTATATTATGACGACTTATATGTTCTCGTGTTGTGCGTCGTGCAGGGGAGACACAAGTAGCGTGTGTACAGTACGGGGCGTGCGGTAAGGGGAGGAGGAAAACTAAGAGAATAAATAAAAAAAAAAAACAACGGGTTTATAAGTGCACGGTAAAACTCAGGTATGTCTATTAAAGAAGAGAAAAAATCTAGAAGCCGAGCGGAGTGGTGCCAGTAGAACGCGCGGTGGTGGTTGGGTATAATATGATAAAATCCTCTTCTCACAATAAAACTCGAGACTGCTGGCCGCCGACGTTATGCACACATAGGTAGCTCAGTTGCCATAAACCGGTAAACTTAAAATCAGAGTCCGAACAAGTCCAGCGTTGTCTCCTATTCCACGTCCCTCACAATAGAGTTTATGTTTTCCGACTTGCCTTTGTCGTGCCGTTTAATTGCTGTAAAAACGGACTCCGCGTATGTTCCTTTCGGCATTTAAAACCTTGAACTTTCACGCTCAATGACTGTGAGATTTTTATTTTGACGGTTGCTATGTTCGACACAGTATAACTTAGTAATTTTGTTATTAAAAATAGAATTATAGTGTTAAATAGTCACCGAGCAATTTCAAAAGGCAATGTTTCATAAGTGCAAAGCGATAAACGTTTAAAATTTAATTGCGACCGTACAATTAAAAAATAAATCTAAGGATCAGCGTATAATCACAAAAGTTAATGTTTTTTTTTACTAGAAAGTAGGTCGGAGCTATAAAAACAAACGTTAACCAGGAACTTATGTAGATTAGATTTTTTATTTTGACACGTGGAAACGAGTGAATGATCGAATGACAAATGAACTCGTTGGCTACCGTTGGAATGCGTTGGTCTTCTTTTTTCGGGCAAGAGGAAAGGTACATAATATCATACGGATAACGTATGCGTATAGTGTATGTACACAAATATGTATATAAAAAAAACAGTCTAACGAGTATTGGCGAAGATCCAAAAAATAATTTGATAGAGTTTCCTCTGTGATCATGTCGATTAGTCCGAGTGGAGCTATTGCGTTTGTACAAATATCAACGTACGTCTTATCCACTTTTTATTCGTTCAACGAGGCATAAATATCATTATTATTAATGTACAATAGAAACAGAGAGACAAAACCGGCGTCCAGAGTGGTACCGATGTTATTTATGAACTTCCAATGCACAGAGTGGTTTAAACCAGTTTAACGACGTGCGATGATGTTTAGGCATTGAAAAAACATTTCAGTTGGGAAATAAATTATTGTCTCTGATTCTGGAGCGTTAAATGATCAAGCAGTTCAACCACAGTATGTCTTTATAAACATATTAGCCATATTGTGAGTATATTCAACATACCATTTAAAAAACTTCACTAATTTTTAATTAATTATTGTTACTAAGGTAATTTTGATAGAATCATATCAACAACAATTGCTTAGTGTTTTCAAATCTTGATTAGTCATAATCTACTATTTTATTTTGTAAATTGTACCATTTGTGAATCGTGAGAATGACTGACAAGCGCTTGTCCGAATCTATAAGACCATGTAATTTGATTTTGTATTTGGAGTTTATCGAAAATCTAGTAAGTTCGAGATGAATTTCAACATCATCGATGATTTATCCTATTTATGATTTTGTGATATTTAAAGAATCCCGAACTCGAATTTCCCCTGAAGTTTAACTTGAAAACAAAAATGTGTAATTTGTCGACGTCCGATAACAATATCAAAATTGAATTGTCAAACTCCTCTGGTAAAATTGATCTGTCAACGATTTTAGATTTCCCACCTGATGGATTGCCGACAACTGCTGAAATCGTAGCCAACCCCCTGCTAAGTATGCGACAATGGTATATTTATTTATGAATATATGTATGAATACATAATTTTAAATGTTTAGTGTGCTTCATGATCGCGCGTTTAAGTTTTACCCGTCAACGCGCGACGACTGCACGACAGTCACAACGTAACACAATAATAAAAAAATGTATTATTCCCTTACATTGACAAAGACACTTCGACCAAGCAAAATAACGATAACGCTGTTCGTTACAGATTATAATTCTATACAGGCGAAGATTCTATACAGGCCGGCATATTTTGTATCATACTGACGGACCAAGTAAGTCAACATCGCACACGCCAAGGCAGCGAGTAAAAAACCACCCGAAATTACAGCAATCGGAATTCGAAACACGATAAGCGAACAATATGTAAAAATTTACANACATCGCACACGCCAAGGCAGCGAGTAAAAAACCACCCGAAATTACAGCAATCGGAATTCGAAACACGATAAGCGAACAATATATTATTGTAAAAATGCTCATTGCGGACGTTAATGGAATCCGCGGAAAACATTCGACACGGTTGGGTCGGTGGTGGTGGTAGTGGTGGCGGTGACTAGCAAAATAATATGAGGGTTCGATAAGTTTGAAGTTAACGCATACACAAGCCACTGCATTGATTGTGCAACGGATGCAGTGGGGGTGTATTATTTTATTGGCAGAAATAAAGTCGTCTGACACAATAGAAGATTCACCCTAAGAGCACGAGATAAGATAACAATTCTCGATTTAGTTCCGACAAACTATCTAACATAAAAGCAACCAATGTAACTTATTTTATGGCTTTTGACATTGCAAGTTTGATTTTAGACAAAAGCCTCCCTTGAATAGTCTAAATTGATTTAGTACAACACAAAAAAAAAAATGTCTCAATGTTGAAAAAACATACGAATATAACGCTTTGCGCATAATTTTCAAGGAAAGATATCAAAAAGTCAATATTTATATAATTTTTAATTATATTATAAATTAAATGTAGAGTATAGATAAGTTCAATTATGTTGTAAATTGTAAGATGATTCTATCGTGGAAATCATAGTACAATAATTGTGCGACCATTTGCAAATATTTACCGATGAATAAACAGTTTTAAAATAATTACTACTTTTGAGAAATTCTTACTTTTTAGCTTTGATGCGAAGTCGATTGTATTGGTTTTACTAGAGTTTTTATATTTTATTTATCTAAAACTTCAATAAAAAGTAAAAAAATGTTCAAATTTAATTTTGAATGTGTGCCAAAAATAATTATGTAATAATGTTGTCTCAGAGACTTGTTTACTATTTGTAAACGGCTCCCGTAGTTAAATAAAATCTATTAATTTGTATAAAAAAAATCACTGTTTTTTGTATTTTTATCATTTTCTACTGGAAATTTTTTGTTTATTGATAGTACCTATACTTTAGGTCGAACGGTATAGACAATAAGAGGGGGTGTTGTACCCCATTTTAATATTGTATTGAAATAATAAACAACTAACGAAGATAAGTATAATCAAACTTTCGTTAAGCACAAATATTTTATAATAGTGATTTTATTTTAACGGAACCATCGTCAGATTTATGATACTTTCAGTGCCTCACTTTACTATGTTTCGACTGTAATGGGTTTTTTTTAAGGAAAGATATTTGAATTTTTAACATATCATTAAATTAATTACACGCTATTTTAAGTGAATAAGTATTTATTATTCTGAAACAATAAACAGTACTAATAGATTTAGATCACTAGAAGGTTCTCGCGTTACATGTTTGGTTTTTGCAAATTAATTGAATAATTATACACAACACATCGTACATAATTATTGTTATTATTTTTTATGATGTATCATGTTAGCCACTGCAGTGGCTAACATGAGTTAATTTATCATAATAAATTAAATCATTATTATTATTAATTTATTTCACAGTTTTTTTTGAACCTTTGGCTAATTTTGAATTGAGTTTTCGAACGACTGTCAGCAAAGATGAATCTAAAGTGATGTGGATATCAGTCGTTGATTTGTTGCCTTTGGCGTACGGTAATTATTTATGATACTTTAATTTCTCCTTAATAGTTGTTACAGCAGTGAATATCAATAAATAATCGGACTTGTTGGCTACAGAACTAGAGATTTTATCTTTTTTAATTATGTTGTTTGTGGTGAACATTTTTTTATATTTACCGATTGAAATTATTCATCTCCTTAATTATTCGGTAATTAATAAATTATTTGTGACATCTTAATACACTTCTTGTGTTTATTCACACGATCATTATTGACGTCGTGAGCTATTGTTATTGAAACAAAGTAGGGAAAAAATAAGTTTTACGATACTTAAATACAAAATACACGCTACACGTTTGCTATCGAAGTATTAACCTAATAACTTTTTTTTATTCTAAGTAATGTTTTTATAACGTTATTTGAAAAATATATGTACTGGTTACGGATCTTTGTGTATTCGTAATTATTTTGCATATACTAAAGTTAAATCTCTTCAACTCGTTAACGTTAAACCGTTTGTAGGTAACGAAGTAGTCGGTCGATATCCGATGCACTGCGTAATTATTGATGTCGATGGTAAAATGATGTCGTTATCGGATAGTTGGACGAGTACAAGTATTCCGAAAATCGCACATCTACTGCCGGATGTCTTTTTAAAGACTTCCGTGCGGACAACGTCTGCTTGGCCATATCCACCGCCAGACAACATATTGACTGTCACATTACATGCTCTGTACAACCCCTTGTCGTTGACGCGATCGTCTCAGAAACGAACGAGTGATCAGCAAAAAGAAACCGCTTATTTAGCTGTTCTGGACTTGCCTCCGACGACGGTAATAAGCAGCAATAGCAGTTCGGTTGTGGTGATACACTTTATTGATTATTAACGTTATGAAATGTAAGGGCTGACTTGTATTAGGTCTAGTCACACCTTATACAAAGCCCAACACAAGCTGGGCCCAATTACCCGCACCTTAGGTTTATTTCACGTAAAAGTAATATTATTATATTATTGAGCTCATAATTTACTCTCGGAATTATTTACCGAGTGTATCGTCTCATAGGGGTATATTTGAGACTTTGCCGCTGTGGCGTCATATTAAGGTAGGTCAACCACTCCCACGAAAATGGAGAAATCAAAATAAATATACCAGAGGGGAGGATTAGCCCCTCTAACAACCACAAATACGTCACTGCCAATACAATGCCGAATTATTTTTCACGGAAAGAATTATTTAGATAAATAAATCTGTTTATTGTAAAAAAATAAAAACCAATCTGCAAACACTCATGCTCGAGTGAGGCCACATGTGTGTGAACTCCGTCAAAGAGTAGAATAGAGCGGAGCATAATTATTGCTTCGCTGTTTGCATTGCACTGTACGTGGCGGACGCTGTAAAGTTACAAAGCGATCGAGGTCATAAATAAGTCTGTCGTGAATTTTTTCCCCTCAAACCGAAAACTGTCTCGCGCTATAAATTTTGCGGACCAACAAATGCCCGTTTACGCATCCAATCGTAAAGAAACACAGCGGCCGCTCAGCGTGAGACGTCCGTTCACCGAAATGATAATTGTTCTAAACTGGCGGCCCACGCCAAAGTAACGTGCATAGTAATACTGACAGCGTTGACGTATACACGCGCATCTAATACCAGGTCATTATTTTATTTTTATTGTCAATTTTATTGTTCACAAATTGTTTAAAACCATATCCGCGTTTTTATTCGAGTGCGTTTGTTACGACCGCTAGACACACTCGTGTAATCGTATTAATGGAAAGCATACGGTCCAAATAGACGAGCATTACCAGTAAACGGTTTTTTACGTGCGCTGTGTCCAGCCGAGAGGAATTTCCGAACAAATTTTCCGCTGCAAGTCCGTAAAAATAATTATCATTCTATACTCGTTTATACATTGCCATCGTTGGGAATATCTAATAAAATTAGTTAGCAGTTATGTTCAATCTAAATTTTAATTAAAAAAAAACACTTGCACAGGTGAAATCAGGTTTAATTTAGTAGGTATATTGTAGATTTACTCGTTCAACACTTCACGAGAATCTACGAATAACGTGTCGACTAATCAAATAGAAGTATACCCTTAGAGCGTATACACATTAATTGGACTGTTTACTTGTGCACGTGAACAACGCTCGTATAATTCTACGAATTAATTGTAAAATCTGAGGGTCAAGGCCCCTAAAATTTTGCATTATTCTAATTAAATTTTTATTTATCATCAAATAAAATAGTTGTCCAATTTAATTAATTCAATTCAATTCGAGTTTTATTAATTAAGTTCAATTTAATGCGTACTAGTACATTTAGAGAAAACGTCAATACGAAAAAAACATTTCACCGTCATAACTGCTAACATCATATCACGAATTAGACGTTTGTCTAGTGTGTATTAGCCCAGCCCACAGTTTTCCTACAGTCTTGGTATGCTAAACAAATGTATTTATCACACGATTACCATGGCTACAGTGAATACCAACATACTAGAGTTAGTATGCATACATTTATATATATTTAAATTTATTACTTACATTATTAAATTAGTCATTGATAAAAATTTTGATTCTTTATAATTCAATAATTATGCTATATGTAGTGCACAAATACTGTTCATAAATATAGTGTTCAGTAAGTAAGGAAACGGATTTCTACTATTCTCATCGTTTGTAACGATTGACCCGGTTTCCTTACTGTTTCAACACCCTGTACAAATGGTTTTTATTGAAATATTTCGAAAAAATTGGAAATGAATCATTAGCATGTAGGTTACATTACGTCGAAGTTCATTACATTAAATTTACTTTAATAGATAAATTTTAAAAAATAATTTATTATTCTTATTTAATACACCCTGTATAGTCGATTTCGTGCAAAATTTAGAACTGCACAAGCAGAAATTTTTGTTAGCCACTAGTTGTGAAGGGCAAAGTATTGCACCAGTACTGGCAACTGACCACTGGCTAGCCCGTACTAGCGTAGTACAGGCTGGCGTCTTTTGTCTATGAACTGATCCAGTACTGGCGGCCAGTACTCGGCTGCCATTGCTGGCGGTGTGCTCTCATAGTACTGGTTATACAAAGTCTCCAGTACTGATCTGTGTATATGGGGAAAAAACGTCATCATCCCAGACATATACCAGTATTCGTCCAGCACTGGTTGCCGCTACTGCACCAGAACTGTCGGCACTGTTCCTGTTATTGACTTCTGATCGTGTAGTTAATACACGTAGGATAATAATTTAATTTGAAAATAGTAGAATTTCAATTAACGAACAAATTTAAAACGTTTGTTTATGAGAATAAATTATTATTATTATTTTTTTAATTGATATTTTTAACATCGGCTGTTTGCCCATGGTAAATAAATTATTATATTATCGTTAAGTATTATATTTCAAACAAAGATGAATATTGACTCATTAAAAAGTTAAAAACGTTAATTTGATCGTGTTTATCACGCTTAAGAGCTTTTATTTCTTGAAGAAATTAATATTATGACAATTAATAATATTAATATTTGAAATATCTTAAAATTATAAAAAAATTTAGAATTTATGTTTTTTAGTTGATATTGCCAATATCAATAATTTAATAAAAATAATTTAAATTAGCTGATATGTTTAATTGGATAAAAATACATTGTCGTATGTTCAAAAAAATTGATTTCCTGAGCGCTATCTATCTTTTAATAATGAAAAAAAAATTGAACGTGCTTTATGACTTACGAGACAACAAATATTGAACAATGTTCTGTTGCTTACAATATTAAGGAGAATTGTCTATGAAATTATGGCGTTCATTCCAACTGTGGCTTTAGATTTTTTCCATCAAATTTCGTTTTTGGGATAATTACAAATCAGTAACGAAGTGTTAATTAAATATATTTGCGTATGACAATTATTTTATAATTTTTTTTTTACTTTAAAAATCAGTAATAGTCGAATTTTCAAAATAATAGTTACATTTTCTTAACAATTAATTAAACAACTGAGTAAAAAAATGTCATACAACAAATCTTATAGCTTTATTGTCTTAAGTGACGATTATAAAAGGTTGTTAAAAATTTTTTTTCAATTTTACAAAAAATCGTACTAAAAAAATTTTAATTTTTTCAAATTTGCGAGTCTTTCGCTTATATTATTCGCAGTTAATTGTACTGTAAAAAAACTCATATTTTTAATTTCTCACAGAATTAGAATAGAATACATCTATTAGTAGCAATTATGAGGTTAACCCAAAAATATTTACAGTGAAAAGTTCGACTTTCAAACTCAGACAGCATCAGTATTGGACTAATAAGGTGCAATACTTCGCTCGTAATCAATGTTGATAGTTACTTAACAAAAAGTTCTGCTCGGCCTGTTTGTTATCAGAAATTGACCAAATTTCAATAAAATTTATGAAAATTTTTTGTTGAGTGTTTTTGTTATAAAACGTTATAAAAAAGTTTACATAAAGGATTTTGATACCAACTAGTGCTATAATTTTATATACCGATTTTGAAAATATATTAAGCGGCTCCGACGACAATTTTTTTTTTGTGTTTTATTATTTGTACTTGTTACCCCTGATAAATTGTTATAGAAGGCAAAAAATATTATATCCTCCACCCATGAGTGTCTAAAAATTTTAGTTAATTTCGAAAAAAAAACGCTTGAAGTCACCAATGTCATGCGATTTAAATTTTTTAATTTCAACCAAAAGTGTTTTAAATCATTTTCGAGATATCCATATATTTTTTACTTTATTGCGAGCTTTATGTTTTATATTGTGAGAACTAGTCAAGGGTGATGCATAGGTTCTAGATTCCCCAAATATTTATCTATAACCGAACACACATTCTGGTGTGATCGGTCTCTGCCTGAAATTCAGTAATAAATATGAACAGAATGTTTGAATTCTGATACATAGGCTATGTCACACATGGTATTGATTTTTAACTGAATTCGTGTGAATATAAATATGTTTTAACGGCGTAGCAGGACTTTTGATTGGCGGAGTTAAAAATCCTTTTTATTTTTATTTTTTGGCTTTTCACATAATTTAACTAGCGTCAAAGTTATACACCGTTAATAGTAATCCCCATACTACTATTAACGGTTATAGCTCCTTTAACCTACCCCTTAGCTATGCCTCTGTAAACGAAATAAATATCAAAAGTATATTTATATCATTCGTACATATTTGATTATAACGATTAATAAAATGGATTCATATCCAGTTAGGGTAGATTTTTAACGATCAATGTTTAAAATGATAGTTAAATAGTTTGGATGGCTTAATACTCGTACTGTAACACTAGTAAATTAATGTTTTAAGGACTCGGACGAAAAAAACACAGCTACAGTATTTGCCAAAGGTTCTTATTCGGACATTGCAGCGGACGACTCAAACGAAGTGCGGTGGCGCTGTTTACTACATGAAGACATACCAGTAACAGTATCGACCACAGGTCAGAGGTGCGTAATCACAATATTCCCACGAATTCATACCGGCGGCCACTCGAACCCGATCTGCGGTAGGTCAAAACAACAACGGGCATAATGTAAAAGAACAAAAAAAAAAAACCAAAATAGCGTTTAGAGACTTCTTCTTATTCGGCCGTGTCGACCACTTAAATAATAAAAAAAAAACACACACGCATGCACGATAATAATGTTATATAGATATAAGTGCGTTGTACTTTTTATACAACAAATGGAGTATGCGTATATAAAGACAATGGACGAGTTTATTCAAAATAGCGCCGCGATGTAGTGCCATCGCTTCGACTGCACATCTGAATGCAGCAGCCGTATTAATACTGCACTACACGGTAAGTATGCGCGCGGGATCTACTTTTGAAATGTAAAGAAATTCCGAGTTTACCACACAGGTGGTCCGGAATTAAATTCAAAGTGTACACGCATAGCAATAATATTTAATAGTAATTATTATTATTTACATTATTGTCGTGGGCGGTTTTGGTGCATGTGAGTGTGTTCGTATGATTTAATTATGTTCCCACAAAGTTTCATCATATGCATAATAATATACACATTCGTTTTAATTTGGAGGTTTGGGGAACAAGAACCGACGTTGACAAACACCTCTGGTATACCTCAAGTGAATGATGTTTTCAATAGAGGGTCAAGATATGTTTGGAATTCACAACATAGATTTTCTATGTCTACGAAGGTGTCTCTAGCTTTACAGGAGTATATTTTTAAGTAAACAATTATTAATATAATATTACCCGGTGGCACCAAACATAATTATTTTAGGCTAGACAAAAAATAACTTTCATTAGACCAATAGTAGAGAAACGGTATCACCATAAAATTTCATTTCATAATTACCTAAAAACTATTTTTTATCGTTATTCATCTAAAACGGTTAAAAACTTTTCTAAAAAATTATTCTCGCACTTATAATAATAATATTAATAATTATACATTACTATGCATTTTTTATGCATTTCGATGGTTTCTCAATTTTGATGCATTCCTATGGCTTCTCAATTTTGATGCATTCCTATGGCTTCTCAATTTTTAAGCATTTCTATGGTTTCTCAATTTTGATGCATTCCTATGGCTTCTCAATTTTATACATTTCTATGGCTTCTCAATTATTATACATTTCTATGGCTTCTCAATTTTATACATTTCTATGGCTTCTCAATTTTATACATTTCTATGGCTTCTTAATTTTTATGCATTTCTATAGCTTTTCAATTTTTATGCATTTCTATGGCTTCTCAATTTTATACATTTCTATGGCTTCTCAATTATTATACATTTCTATGGCTTCTCAATTTTATACATTTCTATGGCTTCTCAATTTTTATGCATTTCTATGGCTTCTCAATTTTATACATTTCTATGGCTTCTCAATTATTATGCATTTCTATGGCTTCTCAATTATTATGCATTTCTATGGCTTCTCAATTTTTATGCATTCCTATGGCTTCTCAATTTTTAAGCATTTCTATGGTTTCTCAATTTTGATGCATTCCTATGGCTTCTCAATTTTATACATTTCTATGGCTTCTCAATTTTATACATTTCTATGGCTTCTTAATTTTTATGCATTTCTATGGCTTTTCAATTTTGATGCATTCTTAAGGCTTGCAATTTTATGGCTTATAACTTTAAGACTCCTCCATAAAAAGTGTACAAATTCATGATACACCATTATAATTTGAAGTTATAAAATTCATGGCTCGATAGTGAACACTAAATGATGGCCTAGAATATAAGCTATACAAATAAAAGTATATATGAATTTATTTTGAATTGATAATATACATTGTAAATATATATATATATATATATATATTTTTATGTATTGAACATTTATGGTCTTTTGCAAACTAATATTAGTTTAGAAAAATTTTACATTAATAGTTGTGGCGTTTGCCATATTATTTTATTGTCTTTGGTGTCACTATAATTATACGATATTTTAAATTTATGTATGATTAATAGGTATATATTGCCATCTTTATAGGTATTCTGTCTGGCCAATGGTGTTGATATCAAATAGTTCATCAGCTATCTCAATGAACACTTCATCAGAGTCGGTTAGTCAATATTTGTCTTCAAGTCCACCCGAAGATGCTTTAATAGCTTTTTTAGATTTATCTTCTCTCATGACACCTAATTGTTAGTTAACGTGTTAACCATAGTTAAAAAAAATTGTTACATCTAATGTATTTATTTCACAGGTACTTCTGTGCGGTGTATTTCATCGATTAATTCAGTTAATGTTAAAAAAAGTCTTTCTTTATTACTACATGATATAGATTTGAGTCAATATACTGAAAATGTATCTAAGGTAAAGTTTTAATTGAAAGTATGTATTACATTTAAGCTAATTATTGGTTTAATATAGTTTTAAAAGCCAAAATAGATAAATGTTAAAATAAAGTGTATTAGCGACGATTTTAATATTATCGTAATTAAATAACATTTTTTAAATATTATTTCATAAAAATTATATTAGTACATTGACTTAGTAAGTTATAAGTACAATGCGTTACAAATTTTTTTGCAAAACAAAAAATATCCAATTACTGTAATGTTATTATGTGATTAACAGTAAATTTTCATTTTAAATATAATGGCCCGAAATGAATAAAAAAATTGTCTTTATGTTTTAAAGTAAAATTTTTTATACATTTATTTTATTATTAATATTATAATTTTTGTAAAAAATTTAGTTCAATATTTATTACTAACAATATTTTTTTGTGCAAAAAGTATATTTTCGAGAAAACGATCAAATTTTTTTAACACCGCTTAAGTAAGAAATATATAAAGCTAGCATTGATGGGTAATTGTCTTAAACGTCTATCATTTTCTAAGTTTGTTAAAAAAATTTGCGAATCCTTCTAAAATTACGCCATTCTCCAAACTTATCAAGTGTTTAATTAATTATTTAGAACAAATCAATTAGATGGTTTAATTTTATTATCTGGAAAAAATTGCAGTTTTGCATGTTGAATAATGTAAAACTTGCAATATGTTGTAAAATTTAAGCTTCAGCAGTTATAACTAAAATTTGACGGTATTTATAACTACCAGTAATTAGAAATTCTGGATATAGACTTTTTTGGTTTTTGCGATAATATGTGAATTAACGGTAATAATAAAAATCTGATATTATAAATATGTATCAGGATTTAATAAATATTAATCGTTTACTAATATTTCTTGGTGTTTTTATATTTTTACTTTAAACAGCTGTTTAATAGTTATAATTTACCTATTTGTCAAAAATGTAAATGCACTGTTTTATTTATAAGAAATAAGGTAAGTGGTCTGGTTAGGCCTAATAAAAACTTATTACTCACATCTACCTTATACAAGCTTGTAAAATTAAATACATATTTTATTAGCTCACTTCAAAACTACATTCATCTACAGATTGTGATCGAAAAGAATGGACGACCCCATTTATAGTTGTGGATATTTCTACAGCTCAGTCATTACATATGCAATATCTAAAACAAATAACATACGAGTAAGTGGGAAATTATTTTCAATAACTCTATCTTGATATTTTTTTATTCTGAGTATTGCTTACTAAAATTACTATATGGGTCGTTGTAAAAAACTCTAGAACCTTGTACAAAACAATTTTGTGAGGCTCTTGCTATCATTTTTTTCTGAATAATGGACTTTTTATTCTGGTAATCAACTAAGTTTTGCGGGGCCCCTTAAAACGCGGCATCCCTTGTTAGGTCGAATCTTGGAAACTCCTAACGTTAGTCCAGATAACAATACAAAGAAAAAAAAGAATTATTCCATAATTAATCACAAAATGTTAAAAGGTTAATTTTAATAAATTTGTTTGCGTATTTTATTTAATGAACAATTATTAAATATAATTAACAATTAAGATACTTAATTAGGAGCAGGTGTCTCAATTTTTTCTATTGATGCAAAAATACTGATGGACATTTTGATTGTAATCATAAATAACGTAGTAATTTATATATTTATCAATAATGTTATAAACAATAATCCATGAAGATTTTTTAAAGATAATTAATTGTTTTAAATGGCAATAGAATGTCAAACTTAGGGTTTAATTTCAATGCCAAAACTCCGTCAGTTGTAAACTTTACGCTAGCTGAGGAAGAGTGCCAAAGAAATATTAGAACAGCAATGCAAACAATAATAAAAGCTACAGTAAGATTATGTTATTAATATAAAATATTACAAGTGTATTTTTTATATGTATTGATTATAATTGAATCTTAAACAGTGTGCTTACGATTGTCAAAAAAATAATGACAGCGTAGAAACTTGTGTGAAAGTTTTAAAAGCCATTGGAGAATACGATTCATTAGTATCATCTTTACAAAAAGATATTAAATCGTATGTTGAAAAAAAATACAAAAGTCCAAGAATTGGTGAATCTGTGCAAGTAAGTATATGGGAGTAAATATTTTTGTCTTATTAAATACAAAGGAATAATGAACGTTAATTTTTTGAAAGTATTACTTAGATGATTACCACTAATATACACAAGGCTTTGTAGGACAATAACTATGTCAGATATTAATAGTAATATATTACATGCTATAGAGAAGTTTGAGATTTTATGTACAGCAATTACGCAACTGTATGCTTATGATTTTTTTTAAACTTAACTATTATTACATGTTGCTGTGGTAATAATTTCATCTGATTCTGTAAATTGTGTCTGCTTGGTACATGTGTTTGTGTGTGTGTGACTTTAATATATGCGTTCACACATATAGTGCGTTATGTATAGATACACAAAAAACCTGTTGTAGAGCTTCGTGAACCGTATTTCCGCGGACTTAGCAGATAAAACTAAGAACGTGGCCGAGTCATTCGAGTTTCCGCATTCCTATTCAAGTAAAGACAGCCTACAGCTGAAGAAAAAACAAGTGGTCCTCTACGCCAAAGAAGCGTATGAGTGTAAGCAAATGGAACGCGCCGAAGCGTTTTATAAACACGTAAGTACCAAAAAAAAAAAATTTTTTTCAGAAATCATAGAAAATGTAAGAAGCAAATTATTTTAACTCACTCGGAAATTTTGTACACACAACTGTTTTTTAAGTATTACATTTGTTCAATCTCCATTTGAAATTGTCTATTAAGAATGCCGTTAAACTATATAAAAACCCACTACAAAAAATACCGAATTTTCGATGGACCCGAAGAGAAAAAATAAAAACAAGTACAATATTATGTAAAAGATTTTATAAGAATGTTGTAAGATTCTGCTTTTCATTTCGTTTCTTTATTTTAGATTTTTATGATTTTAAATAATTAAATGTTGAATGTTTTAAGGCACAGCTCTTTGGAACTGTAGTTATAACCCTCTTCATAACGCTCTTATTAAAACACATAAAACTATTTCTCATTTTAACTTATAAAAAACGATTTTATCTTGCAAAAAGTCTTTTAGATAATAATCAATTATTGTTGGCTATTCGTTGACAGAAGTTGAAGCAAAGTGAGGAATATATTTTTGAGGCCATCTAAAAAAATGTATTTATGTCTTCCCAACATTTTCGCCAATATTGCTATCAATTAGACTCTAATTTATACTCTAATTATTAAAGCATGCTATCTATAAGTATCCTTCGATTGTAAAACCAATGCATAGTTTCCATCTACACATTTTTAACTGCCATCAGCGTTTTTTGTTTAGTCTACAGGCTTTGCTCCATTATCGTCCCAGTGTTATCATACCAAAGGTACGTTTAAAACTAACGACTATCATTTTTCCATCATAGTTAATTCGCACGACTGGCACGAGGTGTGACTCCGACTACTGGTTGTTGTACGCTACTTTTTGCTCAGGGAGACTTGATTTCGATACGGCTTTGGAGTGTGTCAAAGAAGTTTTACTGGATGACAGCGGCAGTTGGATCGGGCAAGTCATATTTACAACAGATTATAATGATATTATATATTTTTATAGAACTACCGTATTACTCTTTTTTATGAGCGATAAATATAATGTTATATGTGTTATTAACCGTTGGTGCACTTGAGATTACTTTATAACTGGTTTTAAGTTAATGCAACGATAGTAAAAAAGTATTTAGCGCCAGCCTGTTTCTCCAAATATTTTGTAGCATTTTGGAACACTATTCATATTTTAATTTAGAATAAACCTGAACTTAAGTTAAGAATAGTATGTAAAAGTTCAATCCTTATTGTTGCACTTAATTTTTAAGTTAACTATATTTAATGACAATTTCTCTTTTTAGTTGATTAAATTGTATACGATGGCTAAACATAACCAATTTATTATATTGTTTTATAATTATTTAGCTAATAATTAAACTATAACTATTCAAAAAGGGCCAGGGAAACTAAATTTAACCACCTTATAAAATATTTAGACACTCAAAGTTATATTTGCTGTTAAATGAACATATTTTTTGGGGATAGAATATTAAACTCTCGTAGGAAATCGTGTATAATTTGTACACTCTCTTATATTCGATCATATTTTAACACAATAATTATTTTTTTATTACACATCTTTTATTTGTCTAGGTTATTTTTGTACGCTGCTATACAGATGTCTCTTGGTAAAGATGAAAATAATAGAAATGGCGAAACTGCTTTAAAGGCGTTAATAATGTACCGCGGAGACTTGAATGAACCGTATGTGTTGCTTAGTGTTTACTATGATTTGCTTAAAATGCCAAACGCTAGTTTAGCAATGTTACAAAAAGGTAAAATAAAACAAACATGAAATTCTTGCACTTGATTGGTACTTTTAAAATGATATAACCAAGTAAATTTTTGAAAAATATCTTATATTAAAACATCTAATGATATCCGACTCAACAAGGCTATTGATTAAATTTAGAAAAAAAATTCTTATTGTTACTGTTATAATTTGTTTAAATTAAATCTTGTATTGTACAGCCAATAAAATATCTCCAATTGCAAACATTGAAGAACATCAAATTCACGATATTTTTTTGAGTTGGAAACCCATTGGATACAACGGAGATCCTCTAATCAAGTGCACCATACTACTTTTGAAATACGAATTGATACAAGTATCTACTAAAATCCAATGGTGGCATTGACTAGTTAAAAAGTTAATTTTTTTTTAACTTTTCAACTTATCTAGTTAATTATTTTTCTAATCAACTTTTTAACTTAACCAATTTAATTTTCTGTTAAGCTAAATTCAATGCTTCGTAAACAAATCTTTATACGCTGCGTGCATGTTTTAATTTAAACAAATTTTATGATATTTATAATTTATTAATTTTTAGTAAAAATGAATAAATTGTATTAAAAAATGTTTACTATTATTAATAATTTAAAAACTTACAACCAATTTGAATTTTTGAAGCTTAATTTGAAATCAACAGTATATTCCTTTAAATTAATTATCATATTGTCATTAAAAATTAAAAATTAACTTTTTTTGCTATCCGCTGTATTAATAAATTTTTTATAGTTTCGACTAAAAAGTTATTATGCTTAAATTATTATTTTTTCAGATCGCGAAATATTGTCTAAGAAATTCGAAACAAAATATCGAAGAATATTTTTACTACATGGCTGTATGTGAATATAAAAGTGACAATTTTATAGCAAGCTTGGATTGGCTTAAAACATGTGAAACTTTCATATCACCAAAGAATGTGAGTAAGACTACAATTTTCTTACATAAAAAATCAGGGGAATCAATAGAAATCGTCCGGGTATGTTATCTACAAGACAGGAAAAGTAGTTTACATTATTATAGTGATTATTTAAATATAATAATCAGTATGATTTTTATTAACAGATAAAATCGCTAAAGAGTGCTTTTTTAAGTATGTAACTTAATAAATCATTTTTCTCATGTAACATTTTTTAATGTTAAAGAATATTTAAATTGGAAAAAAAAACATTTATATAAAATTGAAAAATATTATAATTTTATATTTACTTGAGGATTACTTAATAAAATTAGCAATGTACCAGTGATAGCTATTAAGTATAAAAATTGATTTCACAGAAAAAAAACGTAGATGCCTTAAAATGTCTTAACGATATTGAATTAAAAAATCAATCATGTACTTTGGAAACATTCATATTAAGCTTTGATAGAGTACATAATGTTACCAAAGAAGACCATTTAATATATTTAAAAAGCGCTCAACTTTACTTTCGTGAAGGATTTTACACAAGAGCGGCAGAAATTTGTTTAGTTGCATGTACTGTACTACGAACCCCAATGCTTCTTTGCTTATTGGGAAAATCATTAATAAAGGTTTATATTATTAAATTTTAAAAATTCTAATTTTATCCTAAAATTAGATTAGTTAATAGCGAAGTTAAAGGCATTTTATTAGGGTTGTTCTTAAATGGGATAATCCTATGATATAAATAAATGATCCTTCCCAAATTTTACACATGCAAACTCCCATAAAATTAAATTTAACTGATAAACTACACTTCATAAACTTCGATAAACCATACAATTTTAAAAACAATATTTTATTGATTTAGTAAAAAAAATGTTGACTCATTTATTTTCAGTGTATTGCCAATAATATTGTAAAATTACACTACCATATATCTTTTTTACTTTACCCAAAATTTCATTATTTTGCCAAACCATTTAAGTTTGCTTACTCACATCACTTATGTGTATAATAGTAATTTTAGGAAATTTTATATTTGTCAGTGCTCGAAGAAAGTCCTTTATAATTTTAATTAGAGTTTATAAACATTACATTTGTCAGGGGTCAATTCTGTCAAACTTTGCATACAAACAAAAAATTATTTGAAAAAATATTTTTTATAACTATTATTTTTATTTATTATATCATAAATTTAAAATGGGGAAAATTCAAGACTTTTTATCCTCAAAGAAATGAAATAAAAATAATTTAACTACACTATATGAATAATATAGTGTCTTAGATCTAACCATAGAGTAATACTCTATTACTCTATGGATCTAACTGACAAAGCTTTTGATACAATTATCATTTTGTTGACATTTTATTCTAAATATTTATCGCCTTCTTAGACTGCGTATAAAACAATTTTTTTATTATTTAAATATTGTATCAATACTTAAAATTATTGTGTTTGAAGATTGGCCTAGTGGAAATTGCCAAGAAAGTATTATCAGAGGCTAATTTAATGGACAACAAAAATGAAGAAATATGGAAGGAGCTCTCACTGATAAATATTAAGCTGGAAAATACCAAACAGATGAACATTTGCTATAATGAAACACATTAAAACCCTAAAACTAATTTTTTGTGACAGTTAGTTTTTAGCTCATTGTAATAATTGTAATAAATTATTTAAAAATTATTTAAAAAATCGTAGAAATTTCATAAAAATTGGGTTTATAGTCTTGCAAACTATCAATCTAACATGTTTGATAACTGACAAAATTCTTTTATAGTTATTTTATTTTTAATTGAATAAAATTATTATGAAAAATTTAATGATTATGTGTACTACCCAATGACATTTGTAACTATTTTTTAACTGAATAAACACACTTAAATTATTAAGAGTTATCAACCAAGTTCTAAGCTCCTATGACAGGGGTCACTAAAAAATTGAATATTCAAAAACAGGTCGTCATGATAAAAATGATTTAGATATTCTCAAAGGATTTTCAAAGAAATAATGATTAAAAATTTGTCAACATTACACATATCACAAAAGTAACAAATTAAGTTAGTTTTTATAGTAATAAAAAAATTATTTCCAATAATGTTCCATTTATCTCTAGAAAAAACAAACAAGAAACGATTAGTTTGTAAGACATTTTTAAAATAAAGAAGAGATTAATGAAGTTACTTTGTTTAACATCTTTAATTTACTCTAATACTATATGAAACATTTTGAAGTTTTATAATAACTACATATAAGTATTTTTAAGTTTTATTTTGAAATTTTTGATACCTAAAATTTTATAAGAAATGTATTAACTTTATGCTAAATGCAATAAATTTTAGGATAATATGGTCTTGTAATTAAAGTAAACTTTTATGTTATAGTACAAAATTTATATTTTCATTTGTTACAGAACTATTTTGTGTAAATACAATGAAGAAATTCAGTTCAGCAGAAACAAGAAATTTTAAATATACAGTAAAATCAAAAATCTATTTTAGATTAAAAGTTAAGTTTTATTACAAAATTTAATTTGATGTTAAGTCAATGTTCAACAAATCAATAATTAAATCTTATTAGTAATTGAAATGTGTCTAAAATATTCATATGATTTATATTGACATACAAATAAAAATTTCATTTCATTTAAGTAAACTATGATTGTATTACAGTTTTTACTTTAATTAATGATTACTAATTTATTTGTATCACTAAAATTTTAGTGAGGTAATTATAAATAAAATAGATAAAAATATATAACAGATTATAATTTAATACTATTTAACAAAATGAAAATGAGGAAATTTTTATTTTAAAATTGTAAGACTACATCTATGAACATTTTAAGACATGATCTCAAAAAAAAAAAAAAAATAAAAATTCAATTTTAGCCTACAACAAATCCACATCCCATTTTTAATGAGTGTTTTAAAGGGCAAAAATTTGTACTTAAAGCAAAAGTAAATGGCATGGGGTTAAGTCTTTTTTCTAGTGCCATACTAATATTCCATTTTCTATCAATACTACCTGAAAAAAAATTTTTTTTTATCATAAAATTACTGAACTAAATTAAATTAAATAATACTATAGTAATTTATATAAAACAAAATATGTTTCTAGTTCCTACTAATATTCAATGAGTTTTATTATTAATAATAGTTTTATCAAAATAATCTATATAATTTCTAATATTTAAAATATTTGGTTAAGAACTTTTGTAAAAACAAGTATAGTAGAAACTCGTTCAAGTAGGGTCAAGGCATAGTTAAAATCAATAAATATATAAATTTGTCGATGATTAAATTACTATTATAAAATGTTTTGATGTTAATGTATATGGAAATAAATTTAAAGTTAAGTGAATTTTTTTAGAAGGTTAAGATATATTTAAAGAAAGGAAGGAGTCTTATATCCCCTTAAAATATCTGCACTATAGTAGTTACTATAACTGAAAAAACCTAATTGAAAAAAAATATTATATTATAAAACTAGGTTTTTTTGTGTTTTTTTGTGTTTTCTCTTTTTAGATTTTAGTGATTATTTATTATAAGAAGACAAGAGTATCAGGATAAATTTATTTTATTTTATTTTAAGAAGTGACATTAGATTAATTTAATGAACATTTAAAGAATATTAGGATTTACAAAATATGGCCAAGTTATTATGCTGACTTTTTCATGTTTTTATTCATTTTGATTTAATTATTTTTAAGAAAATAATGTATTTTAGTTGAGGTCATTCTAAAACTCATGAACAATAGAATAACTCATTATACTACTATATTATAATTATACACATTGAAATATTTGATTTGTAATGTCAGAAAAACTTTAGAAAAAACTAAGTCAATGAATTTATTTTCAAAATACAAAAAGTAAATAAATTAAGTTAACTCTTGATTCTTGGTCTGGTATCAAATTATTTATTTGATAATAAAGCATTATAATATTATAATTATAAATATTTTTTTAATAATTAAAACAAATGATAATCATTTTATGAGTAAATATAGTTTATAAAAATAATCAAGTTACATAAGCCCTTCGTTTTATTTTTAAATTCATAAAAGTTGATGTTAAATTTAAAAATTTTAAGTAATTTAAATATTACCTTTTATACTAATATCAGATTTTGGAATTTGTGCAGCATATCCAAACGTAGCATTTACATCTCTTTGAATTAGATTAGCTTCAAGATCTACAGCAAATTGTAATTGTTCACTTGCTTTAAAATGATAACAACATTGTAATGATACATTATTTACAGTTGAACTTATGGTAGTAGCTTCATCATCTAAAAAAAAAACAAACAAAATGTATATTAGAAAAGTCAAAACTAAATTAAATTAATATGATTATTTTGATTTATTAAATTATATTAGTAAAATTAAAAAACTTATCTTCAGTAATATTTTGAATAGAGCTAAAAATATAACAATAAATAGCTTATAAAATTAAAAATTTTTTTTTTTTAATTTTGATAATTCTTAAGCCAATTTTGTTGATATGCGTCTATTACATAGATACATAATTTTTATTAAGGTATGAGATATGGACAAAAACTTTGTGTATAATATCAATAAAATATTAAATTTTAAATATTATTCATATAGACATATATCCTCATCTAAGCACATATTGTTTGAATGAATGCACTTTTCTCTATATTATTTGTAATGATCGTTACAGTAATAGAAAAATATAATTATTAGGATAATTGTATGATAGTCAAACATCATTAAATAATGGTTGGGATGATTATTTTTATCAACATTTAATGGTTTTGATTAATTATCTCTTGCATTATCATTAATCCTTTCACAACAAAATTTGAAATGATCAATCCATTTAAATATAATTTTAATTCACTTAACAAATATAGCTGATAACATTGAATGAAATAATAAAGCATTTTTTTTTTTTTTTTTGACCAAATCTATCAATTGAAAAAATACTGATTTTAGTGAAATTTTTCTAAAAAATAAAACACTAACTTGATTGCCTTGAATTGTATACATCAGAACAAGAAACTTTTAAACTACAAAATACAATACTAGTCTTAGATACTGGAATACTAGACTGGTATAAAAAAAAAAATTACCAACTATTTGTCCACACTTGACATATATATATATAATATATGGTTTAAAATTTAAATTATTTTGTAAGGATAAAAATTATTGTTATATCATCATAATAAATAATTAATCAATGGTTTATTTTAAATATGTTGTAAGTATATAACAACAAAAAATGAATTCCATGTAATTATTATATTATTTTAATGAAAACTATAACAATTTAAGTATTGCATAAAAATAAAATAAAAACAAATCTGTTAAAAAAGAAACAAAATGTACTTATAAATTTATAAAGTATCTTATCAATGTAAAGTATAATTAACTTACAAATATATTTTCCTAATAATCCAAAAATTGTCATTGAGCCACCAGGTATATGTGGACCACGATGATGTTGAAGTTCATAACCTACAGATGTACTATTGTTTAATGCATATAAGGACTGTGTTATATAACTTCCACTATTATTTAAAAAATCTGGGTTGGCTAAACATACTGTAGATGTAGATCTTTCAGTTTTATAATCGGCACTTACTTGGAAATTAGCTGTTTTAAATTCTTGGAACTAAATAAAAAAAGTCATATCATATTAGAATTTAATTTAGTAATTAATAAATCTATAATTTAATTCTAATAACCTTAGTCTCTCTGCAATTATAGAATAACTATATTACAATAATTATATATTACAAAAAAATTAACTTAAATTCTTATTACTTGATCTAAGATCTATGAATCAATATTCAAGTAAAATAGGGTATTATTATTTATTTTTCTGTGGCTACTTTACAAATAAAGAAATAACGATTTTATTAATAATTTATACAATAACTAGATACTTATATAAATTATAAAAATATAAATAAGAAATGAATATATAATGTAAAGTAATAATTCCCAATAGCGCCACTTTTTTACCATTAGGGAATTACTTTTGATATTGTGTAACAACTTGTTAAGTTAATGGACAACTTTATTAAAATATCATTAATAAATGAAAAACAAAAAAAAAATACACATATAAATAAAAATTTTGGAGACAAAGAGCATTAAGTGAAAAACCACCCTTATGATAAAATATTCAACACTCTTGGGGCACGAGTTAACATTGACTTATGGGGACCAAATTTTTCATAGCTTAATTTTAATGTATTAGAACAAATTTTAAGGGTGCCACCTAAAATATTTTAACTATATAGCTAAAGACTACCCTAATACATATAACGAAAAGGTTATTACATATTTTATTAACATACTTGTGATCCAACTCTAATTTTGATTTTGTTTGTTGGATACACTATTAAATTTGTAGATATATTTCCACGAGGATCTATGTCTCCAATTAATAGAGGGCTGTACTCTCCAGCTTCAATTTGATTTGTGCCGACAAATGTTGATCCAAATTTGTAGCTTGAATTTTGGCTACTTGTTCCAATAAGTAAACTATGACTAACATAGAAATGATTGCTTAATCCTTTATTAATAACTAGACGAAGTCCATCGAAAGAAATAGGAAACACATCTAAAATAGTTTTAAATAAAAAGAAAGTATTGAATATAAACTTAAAAAATTTCTTTTTTATAAATAATAAATTAACTATGATTAAATTTTTGATATTACAATATATAAATTTTAGATATACCTTTATATTATATATTAAAATATGTGAGCAATGATTTCAGTAAAATATTAACATAAGTATACTTTAAATACTTATACGTTTAATATATAAATAAAGTGTAATTAATCACATAAAAAATTTAAAATAATATGTCTCATTTTACCTTTGCATTTTTTATGAATATCTTCTACACAACCTGGATTTTTGACGACTATTTCAGGAAGTATTTTTTGAGGTGTTCCAGGTACAGGTAAAGTGCTTGGGGGCATTGGTGGTAAACTAGAAGATGCTTGCACATTACCCATAATTTGATTTGGTAAATAACTAGTATCCTTAATAAGACAATTTTTAATTACTAAAGCAATACTTTTTTTTAAAAAATAAACATATCACTTGAATATCAACCACGCTATTTCTAATTTCTAGAAACTTACCGACAATTTGATAACGATAACAAATTAAAATCGATAAAAAAAGGTTTAATGATATGATCCGTGGAAGAAAAAATAGAACACTTAATTTAAAATTTAGAAATATAATGTCCAAGTTTGTTCTGACAAATTATATTACTTTTGATAGTCTTTGTATACTCTGCTATTTTTTTTTTAAATAATTTTTACAATTTTGGACTACATTAAATGCATATTTTTTATTATTTGACATGTTATAGTCAATTTTCAGAAGGAAATTGATAGTAATTGATAGTATATGTTATAGCTTAATACATAAGCTGTGAAACATTTGTGACCGATATCATTAGATATCGTGTCTAGTGGCCTTTAAAATTGATTAAGTTATTTGAAAAAAATATATAGTTTAAAAAAACTAAGAAAACATGCTTTTAAAGCACATCAAACTAAAAAGTTAGAAATAATTTTTAGTTCGATATGCTTTAAAAGCGTGTTTTTTTAGTTTTTTTAAACTATATTTATTTTTTACTTTTTAGTTTCAAGNGTTTTTTAGTTTTTTTAAACTATATTTATTTTTCACTTTTTAGTTTCATGTTATGATAGTAGTTACTATCAATATCATGGTTGTAACGGGTAACGGGAAATCAGGGTTCGATTCCGGGGAGGGTGTCTGAGAAACGGCTGCCACATCCGAGGAAAGCAGCAGGCGCGTAATTTACCCACTCCCGGAACATGGAGGTAGTGATGAAAAATGACGATACTGGATTCATCCTTTGTAATCGGAATGAATGAGTTCTATATCATTAAATAAGAATAAAGTGTGTTAATATATATTTTTAATATATTAAATTTATAAATTAATTTTAATTATTATATTTTTAACTATAAATATTAAAGTGCTTTTAACTCAATAAGAACTTATTCTAAAGTTGTTATCGACTCATCACAATTTTTTGTAAAAAACAATCTAAAAAATGACTATTCTGAAATTAAAAAAAAGTTTTTATTAGTGATAAATAATAACATATATAAATATAAAACATAGTTTAAGATCATTAAAAAAAAATTTCAATAAAACGATAATTGAATGAAAAGTTATTGGATTTGTCATTTTTGTGACTTAATAGATGTGTAGAAATTTAAATACATATAATTTTATTATATTAACTTATATCTGTAATTAAATTAATTTTTTTTTAGCGCTATTACAACACATCAAAGTCATTAGAAGCCTCCAAAAATGCATTGGTTTCTTAACCATGAGTACAAAAAGATAAATGGTAAGAATATCTCCTGAGATGGGAATGTCCATGATAATGAACAGCACACTCATAATATGAAACTGTATTAATCATTGGGACCATCTCTAACCATCAAATTTTTGTGCAATGTAAGAAGTTAAATTAATATATGTTATTTTTACAAGGAGTACCAGTATTTAAATTAATCAAAAGTAAAATTACCATTTATATTTCAATTTTTTTTTTATTTTTCATTAGAAATTTTCTATAAATTGATTTTAATTTACTGATAGAAACTTAAACTAAATCATTTGTTAATGTCTATAGAATGGCTGCTTTAATTATATTTTGTTAACTTATGCCTTCATTTTTTAAAAATTATTATGTTAAAAAATAATGTTTAAAGCAGCATAAATATAGTTAATAAACTCAAAATAATACAAAATTGAGATTGTATGTAAAATTATTTTTTTTGTTAAACTAAAATAAATAAACTTAAAAATACATAGTTCAAATAATATTAGGTTTTAGGAAATGTTTGTTTTAAAAATGGTTTGTTCAAAGTATTATGCAACTGAGTTGCTTTATGTTGAGCAATACCTTGGCAAAGTGAAAGAGATCGTAGAGGTGCTTTACATATACCTTCTAAAGATCCAAATGTACTTAGTAATAAATTAGCATCTGTTTTATTCACAGCCCGAATTGTAGTTAGGGCATTAACAACCTGCAACATTATAATAATTTATAAAATAATTATTATTGATATATAACTGTTAAATAGTTTTATTTAAATAAAGCATCTATTTATCATTCTTAGATGTTGTAAGTATCATAAATGTTATATTTATTGTTATACTATACATATTAGAGTTATTTACAGTAGAAATATTGTTAAATATTTTAAAAACTATTATATGTTAGATTACCATAATTATTTCTACAATTTATTATTTATTATTTTTAATAAATAGAATACAATAAACATAGTTAATGGTAAGGCTATTAACCTACTCCAATTTTTTATTTAAGTAAAAAAAATGAACTAATATTTATAAATCTGTCCACCTTCTCATTTGGTTAAATTTTAAAGGCTGGAAATAGTTATGTTAATTAATAGGGGCTTACATATATTTATAAATACAAAAAAATAAATTTTTAATTATAGAGGCTATTAAGATTTTCTGAATTATCGACTTTATAATCTTTTTTTAATTATTTTATTATATTTATTTGCTGTTATCAAAAAGATTAATTTTTTGATTTTAAATGTGACCCCTTGTGTATATAATACTTAAATTTTAGATTAATTACAACACAATTATTTTATAAATATTACACTCAATATGAATTAATTAGAAATTCATAAATACATTTTAACTATTTAATTTGATATGTACCACAAAATAAAAAGAATATCAATATTATTGTTTTTTTAATAGAGCTAGAATTTTAAACTTATTTACAAGTAAATAAACAATTTATCTTACTCTCGAATGGCTATCAGCTTCAGGTTTTTCCATAATAAGATCAGGAGGTTTACTTTCAAATATTTTATAAGTTTCTACAAGTTTTCCAGCTTCTTCAGGGCTCCATGCTAGCATCAAGGTTAAATCTGCTGCTAAACACATTCTTGTTAGTTGTTTCAATGCATTATGAGGATCTTTAACATCAACTTGCAGTACTAAAACTCGAAGTTCATAGAGTTTGCCTAGTGACTTGACTCTTTTGTATATATAATCAGGTTTTAATAGATGATAGCGAACAGATAAAAACAATGCACATGTTGTTCTTCCCATTATATAATCTGGTATGATACTTTCAGAATATTCCCATGGTACATTTACAATTGATTTTAATAAAGGATTGCCCTTCTAAAAAAGAAATGGAACAAATACAGTTTAGTTTTTTTACAGTTTATTGAATTTTTTTTATTAATTTATTTTTATGTCGATTATTAATATTCAAAAATAAAATATTGGTCAACAGTATTTAAAAGTTATAGCACTTTAAAGTTTGCTTTTAACACTGTTTTTATATGTTAATACATAATTAATATTATTCTGTTATTCACAGGGGAAAGAAGTCCAGCAAAATCCAACCTAAACTTGTAAGTCTGAAACTTGAACAATGAACAACTTGACCAATGAACATTAATGACATACACACTATTAATTATTAATAGTGTGTATGTCGCCTTATATATTGTTATATGCAAACTTTAAAGTGCTCTAATTTTTTCCCTATTTTTGACCAACATTTAATTTTGCATAAAACTCTATTTATGCCATAGAAAAATAATGATCAGTTTCACCCTTCTATTTCTCAAACTTAACATGCTACAGAGGGAGACAAAGATGGTTCTTGGCTAGACCAATGATGGATTGGACTGGTATTATAAATGACTTGTAATAAAGACCACACCACCAATGAGAAAATTACAAGAAAAATCTCATTGGCACCTTACGAAATAAACCCAGGATCCCGTACACTGAAACATGTGTTTTTACCCAGCAGGTCAGGCCAACCCCTTATTTGTGCCAAAGGAATTATATAATTAAATATTTATAAGGTGAACATTTTACTTGTTTGATATTGACTAGAATAGCGGCGGATGATGATGATGATTTAATAGGAGATTGTTTATGACCACTCGTGCTTGGTTGATTAATGTTAATTGCATTTTTAACTGGTTGACTAGATACTGAATCTATTGTTTTGTAATGTTCCGAAGATTTTGTTTGAAGAAATTCGTCTGTATTTAATTGTTTTAAATTAATTAGAGAATAAATATCATTTTAACTTTCTTACTTGCAAAAGACCCAGGCTTGTTCATATTGATCCAAAAAAATTATTATATACAAAAAGATTAATGTGGATCATCACGGAATAATAATTTTTTAATAATAATAATACAATTAAACTCGTAAAATTTTTGATAAATTTATTAAAAATACGTATTCATTCATTAACATCACGATTATAAAAAGAAATTAATATTTTAGATAACAAACTATTCTGACGTAGATTGCCACAGAATGAACACTGATAAAAATATACAATGTCATTAAATCAGTCGTCCACTTTGATGTAGATAAATCACCAAATTTAAACTATGTAAACATTTTCCAAAATTTAATAATAAATAAATAATTCTTTTTTTTATAATTTTAAAAACTTATAAAATATTTAATAGGTAAATTAAAGCTACTAAGCAAATTCAAATAATAATTTGTTGAGATTATTTAACACTTTTATTCGTTATCTCTATAATAAAAATGATAACATTACCTACAGAAAAATGCATACAAATTATTGTTTACATTAAGATATGTCCAGAACTTGGGAATATACATCAGAATAAAAAATTAATTAGATTATAGAATAGATAAGAGTAGATATCTACTCTATGATTGGATTAGCTGGTTAAAGATCATTTGATGGAAATTTTTTCAACGTTTTTGAACATTAGCAGTAATTTTTTTATAATTATAATCAACTCACAACGGACGCGATAAATGGATGATAAATCTTTATAATAAGAACTAGATTATACTAGAATTTTTACTAAATATCTACTTGTTTTACTAAATTTTTTTTTATTAAAATAATGAATATTGTAATATTATATTTACTAGGCTTTGTAAAGCTGGGGATCCGCCCCAAACCCGGTGGCCTGCGGGTCTTACGCACCACGGCGCGTTGAACTCTTTGGGCTATCCTTAGAAGTAGTAGGCCATTGATTCTAGTAGGACTACTCCGAGCACGATATTTGTTATATAAAAAAATAATACTGCGGAAGTAGTTTACTAGACAATTAGCTCCACTAGTAAATTAAATATAATTAAAAAAAAATAATAATATGATTACAAAAAAAAAAGTTGTATTCAAAATTATACATCGTAATAATCTACTAATTATTATTTAAAACAACGATAGGCGAAAGAAAACTTAATAATCATGAAAATCAATATTTAATGCCTTGTTATTATAGAAAACTACATAAACTAACATAAAATTGACATGCGAAAATCAAAATTATACCTTATTAAAAACTACAGGCCTGATAAAAATTTCAGGTTTTAAATCGAAAATCGCTGGTAGTAATGAGCGTTTTAAATAAATTTTTTATACACTCACTGTGTGCTAAAAAATAATTTTCTTAAAATAACGTCATCGAACTTCTTCATTAAAAAAATTTTTTGGAAATCGGACATCGTTAAGTATTTATTCCAGCATTGGCTTATTTTTTAATGTTTTATTATGTAATAAGATGTTTATTCATAACATGAAAAACCATACATCGCAATTTATACTCATAATATTGTTAAAATTTGATATTAGCCTATTATTAACATATACAGAATCAAAATATTATATAACTAAAGTGAATTTTCTACTAAACTGAAATTCATCAGTATAAAAAATCTAACTAAATCTTTAAAAACTATTAAATATAGCTTATAATAACAATAATTATCGAAACTTGACATTTAACATGACTGATACGACAGAGTACGATGTTTTGACCATCTGTAAACATGAAAATAAAAATTTTGAAGGATAACCTCTTTTGATTAAGAGTACATACTTAAATTTTAATTATATTAATCTATTACTAATATGTAGCATAGCTATAATGTTTATTAAAGATTATTGAAAATCAATAATACGAATTTAGATTAAAAATTTATTAATCATCAAAAAAATCTATCTGTGAAAAAGTGTCAATGTCTTCCCACCCAAAAAAATCTGCCTATCGAAGTAGTAATATTTACACTGTGTCCAAGTTTGCTCCATTTTTAGTTTAGTATCTTCAATCTTATTTTCATGAACAACATAGCTTTTTTATTCGTATTGCTTAATACTTGAACAGTTTTTTTAATGAAACATTAAATTGATTTTGCCACAATTGCAAACAAATCCCGTAAGGAGATCTGAATTTATTGTTTTCTTCCGAGTTCTCCCTTCCCATCACCCACGTACTACTGGCCATAGTGTAAATTTCACTACTGTAATAGGGGTAGTTTTTTGAAATGAATTAACATTGAGCTACATTTTACAGAGTTTTAAACTACTGCAGTTAATTTGTTTAAACTTCATAGGTTACATCAAAAGGAATCAGAGATAAGGTTAATTTTTGGAAGCTTAATGGAAACTTATAAATATATTAACGTAATTAGTTAAAGAATGGAGTATAAAAATGTTGACTGGTTAATAAACAGTTATGAAAAATTACTTTGAAGTGTTTAAAGGAATAAGGTAAGAAGTGGGGTAGTATTTAAAAATTTGATAAAAACACTTCTATGTCACCTTCTCTTACAATACTCATAAAAATTCAAAATTAACTCTACAAAACTACCCTAGAAAACATTTTTTTTATGCAAAAAATTATACGACTATTTAAATATTAACGTAGTTATTATTATCATGACCAAAATGGTTTATTAAAAATGAATGTAATTTATTCAGAATAGTTTTACTGAAAATTTTAATAAAAAAGTAGGGGGAGTATATTTAATAAGTCTATTTATATATCGGTGGCTAATTTATCGTTATAAAAATAATAAAAACTGTTGTCAATTTCTATTGGAGAGGTTTTTTTGTATAATATGAGTCAATTTTATAAATATTAAGAATTTATCTGACTAACAAATTATTGATATCACTTTTTGCTACTTACACTTAAGAAGAATTTCAAATTGATCATTTTTTCAGGTGTTGCTTTAATTTTTAAATTATTAGCGTTATTTATCATCATAACTTGTAAAAGTGTTTTTTTCATTCGTGTACTGGATGTCATCCAGTTACTACTGTAAATTCCAAAATTTATACTGTCTCTCTGAAACATGAAATCATTATAATTTAAATACAGTACGCAAATAATTAAAAAAATAGATTTGATTAAGAATAATTTAATGGGTAGCTTTTTCTAAATAAAAAATGTCTTCAAATCAATTTAGTGTAAAAACATCTATTATTGAAAATTTTCACCCTAAATGAATGATTTTATTTTAACTAAAATATTCATTTTTTCAATCAAATACAAGTATTAAATTCATTTAACATACAAGTTATTTTAAAAATTGAGATATGCTAAATCATGTCATCATTATATCTATTAGGTAATATAACAACAGTGTATTTGTGATATTTATGTAAGTTATCACTTCTGTATTGATTGTTTTTCTTTTATGAAATAAAACAAATAGTTATCAATATAATACCTTTATGTCAATTTCATTTAAACATTTTGTGTATTGGAATACTTGAACTTCCATTACAATCATTACTATAAAGTATTTAGAAAATTCATACATATTAATAGAATTGGATATTAGTTGCTGAAACACAGTAATAAGTTAATTTAGAACATCACTTAATAACAATTTATACACCTTTTGTTACCGCAGAAATAAAATATGTGGAAGCCACAATCGAAAATGTACCATTAGCTATTTGAAATAATATAACAGGACGAATGACAGTAAAGAATTTTTTAGTGTACCTAATTTTTTTAAATGAAAATTAAGTTGAATTAATAATACATAAATAAAAAATTATTAAATAAATTATGCCACATACCTAAATCAAAACTGTTATAACTCAAAAAACAATTGTTTTTAATGTAATATGAAAAAATATTCGTCAGACAAAAATGTTTTTTTGAATTGCAAAAGTATTGATTTAAGTATGTGTTATGATGATATATTTTTCTTATTAACAACTAAATTATACAATTAATTTGACTGTATAACTTAAAAAATTACCTGTATTAAAATTCACATCTTTAATGAATTATTTAGCTAATTGTAATTAAATTTTGTTAGATTACCTATTTTTTTGGTGTTACTTAATACAAAGTGATCCATTATGATATCAATATGATAACTTTAATTTATTCGTGTTTTATTTCAATAAAATAAATCGATAAAAATAAATTTTTACAATGCTATTTTTTATTTTTTTTATAGGTATTGTTTTATAATCACAGTAGAAATAAGTAAAATAGTTTTTCAACTCTCTAATATATTATAATCAAAATTATTTAAATATAACGTCTAAAATAATTAATTAATTACATTTAGAATCTATACAAATCAAAATTCTTTATCAACACATACTATGCTACTAATTAATATCTTTAACTATTTAATGAAAACATACCTATTTAATCGTTGATTGTCTGAAATCAAGTGTTCAATATTGTCATAGTTTGCTAAAATTAATACAAATAAATCAGTAATTGTATTATAAGGTAAAAAATAACTCGTTTAAGTCAAAACCCGACATAGTAGTAAATTTTATAGATTAAAAGTTAACAGTTATTAATGTTACTATCATCAATCGTTTCATGAAAATATGTGAAAACAACTTTTACTATTCACAAATTTCTTATATATATATATATATATATATATATATTAATTAAGATATTTTTAATTAAAGAATTAGATGATATGATAAAAGGGGTATTGTTAGCCATGATCTGTTTTTGCCAAAACACTCAAAATAAGAATACTACTACATTGAATGATTCTCCTATCACTTGTGTCCAGAAATTATCAAACTTTTAAAAAACACCCTCTTAGAAATTATATTTTTTTAACTAAAAAATATTTTTAAATATAATTATGAGCATTTTATAAGAAATCATATAGCTATCGTTAAATAATCATTCTGCTTATATGGTCAACTCATCAATTTAAGTAATTCCCCTTTAAAAATTTTATTAGACAACAAAACTTATAACTTTTCTAAATTTCGTGGAAAAGCTGTTTTTATATATTGGAGTTAGTTGCCCCAGAATTACTCAGATTATAGGGTCTATGGAATTGGTATTGATGAAAAAATTAATTGAAGTACAAAATAATAATGAATGGAATCTTAAATTATAAATCGATACCTAGATGACTCCATTTTCCCAATAATATCCAAAAGTACTTTAAATAAAGTGTATATTTTGTTTAAGATTTCATATTAATATATTATGAAATAACTCAATGATGTAACAATTTCTTACTTTTATTTTCATTGTCGGTGTTCAATTTTGCAAAAGCTGAAAATACGATTGCATATCGAGTTGAAATTATCTGACATAATGACCAATTTAGGGAATCAAAAGTAACTATCATCCAAATAACCCAAATTGCCCATATGAGTTCATTTAAATAAAATATATAATAGTATTTATCATACGTTAGTTGAGAAACGGGATAAAATAAATTTAAACAATTTAAACGTGTTGTAATATTGAAATGTTGATGTATGTACAAATTAGCAGCAATAGGAACAATCATCCACGAAATAAAAACTACACAAAAAGCAGTAGCATACATAAAGGACATAATTTGTGTTTTTCTGATTTTTTCTTTAAGTAGACTAATTTTTGTTTGACAAAGTTCACTTTTGAAAAAATCATCAAACGTAACGGAAATTATTTTACTTAGAATTTCATCATAATAAAGTACTGTAATGAACTTAATTGCCGCACATAAATAATTCATATAAATAAATATGACATTTGTCATTTTGTCAATGTTAATATCACTTTGTTTTACGTTGTCAATTAATCCAATAATACTGAAAATAAAAAATACAAATGTATACAAACTTATTGAAAGTATGATACCGTATATTTTTTGGCTTTTAAAAGTAATCGAGTGTAATAAATTTAGGATAGTTAATAATTCCATTTTATTATCGGTGTCGTTTGAAGTAATAACATCCAAGATAAATTTTATTTTTTTGAAATCTGTAAATAATTTATTCCATTAGAAATATTTTCATAAAACTATATGTAATTTCTATAAAATGTAGTTCATGTATTAATGAAATTCATTCATCGTAGTTTCTAAGATTAAGACGAGTAAAATAAAACAACAAAAAAAAAAAAAAAAAAAAA